CACTATCAGTTTTGTTAGTCCATTCTGCTATCATTTTCAAACAGAAGTTAATCTCATTTACAAAGAATGATAAGGAAATAACTTAAACTGGGGAAAGTACGCAAGACATTTCTCATAACATGAGAGAAGTACCTGTCTTCGTTTAGCTCCAGACCCACAGTGCTGCAGGACGTGTCCTGGATTCCACAGCCCAGATGTCTGCTCCGTGCTCTGGATAATACGCTCTGCTTGCTGCAGGGAAAGAAAGCTTTGTCACTGAGGCCTCCCAGGCCTGGGTTTCATCCTTCATTGTAACAATGCACATTACCAAAAAAGGCAAATACTAAACCATGTTCGCAAACCTCTGTTAAATATGGTAAAAGACTATGGCCCCGGCAACCATTCAGATTGGAAACTGTAATTATTTCTACATGATTAAAGCATGTGCCTTAACAGAGAACTTGAAGTGGCAAGATAATAGACATTTTGTTGTAAAGGCCCTTGTCAATGGTTACAGCTATATTCACACTAAGATTCTCTGCTATCCCCACGGATACATCAACCTTAATGATCAACCTCATAGGTTATTGAGTATGCCTCTTAGTTACTTCCGAACTCATTACAAAGGCAGAATCTGTTATCCGGGATCATGATACAATTGTTCCGGCCCTAACACACCCAGGGCTGAAAGACGGAGTTGTGTGGGGTTTAGAACAGTTGCTACGGCATCTCTTTACACTACTGCAGTTGGTCTCAGGTTAACACCTCTCCTCTGCTCTCACCTGAGACAACTGCTGATGTTTCGTTTGCATCTGCTTGAAGTCATGTCTTTGGTTGATTGGCACTGCTAATTAACTCTGTGCTTCCTACTCAGCAGAACACAAAGAGTACAAGACTAGTCCACAACCTGTCAATGATCTAGCAAAACACAACTTTCCTCTGCTTATTAGAGAATCACAGAATCACAGCCTGGTTTGGGTTGGAAGGAACCTTAAAGACCATCTAGTCCCACCCCCCCTGCCATGGGCAGGGACACCTGGACACCAGGCAGGTTGGTTGGAACGAGATGGCCTTTAAGGTCCCTTCCAACCCAAACCAGGCTGTGATTCTGTGATTCTCTAATAAGCAGAGGAAAGTTGTGTTTTGCTAGATCATTGACAGGTTGTGGACTAGTCTTGTACTAGAAGTCAATGGTACCTGATTTGAAAACAGTTGTTTTCTATGTTCAGATTCCTAGCAAGAACTTATCAACAGGAATGTTCTGTACTTCTCAGGACTACACCTTCACTTGTAATTCTGGAAGCCACACACAAAAAATATGGCTTTAATTTTCCTGTATATACTGTGCATAAAGACACCTCGGGGGAAAACTACAGAAGTAAAGTTACACAAGAACATAACTGTTCAGATGAACAACTCAGTGACACTTTCAGATGTCCCGAGCACAGCAAATACCAAACAAACAAATCTTTCTTAATTTCACAGGAACTAAACATTCCTGGAAACTGTGCAATACTCCAATTCTGTAGCAGACTTTGCACTATTGTTAACTGCCCACTGCCTGGCAGCTATTGTTCTGGTTGAATCATTAGGTATTTTCTTTATAGCATTACATTGCCAGCATAATATCTTTTAGAAAATTTCTTTTATAGAGATCAGGTTTTGAACCTTAAAGTGATTACAACCACCTACAGTAACACATACCCCAGAAGTAAGAAAAACAGCCAGATAATTTATCTGTAAAACAGATTGTCTAATTAAAGCATCCCTTTATATAATACACTCATCCCTGATTATTGCATCCTAATTGTAGTGGAGGGAAAGCTGTACTTCAGATGGAGCGTCATTAATAAATAAATACAACCCAGTAACCCTAGATTCCCACCTGTATCAATATACAGTGACATCAACTGGATTCTGAAATTCAGCTCTTTTAGGCTTTTGTAAACTATCTTTCAGCCAGGATTAGCATCACTTTAGTTCTCAGTGTTAAATTTCAAACATTAAAGATCCCTTCATATGCGATAATAGTGAACTTATTGTAGCAATTAGCTCACTTCTATTTGTGATCATATTTTAATATAATACTAATTCTGGCTACTCTACTACTGTCGAATACATGGAAAACCAGTTCAGCGCCCGGTGTGCCATGGCAGAGTGTAGGAGGTAACCAGATGCCATTCTTTGAGCATTTGGTGCTTACATTATAATACAATGCCTGAATTAGCTGAAGACATATTTTGAGCTTGACTATTATAAGCTTGCCTTGATCTTGGCATTTTCTTCTAACTTCATTTCAATTTTCTCATTCTCATTAGCTTTTAATAATTACTGTTGTATGGCAAGTCAAAAACCAAAGCAAGCAGTTCAATGAGCAGTGTGTAGGAGCAAGCAGAAAAAAGGGAAGTCTACTATAAAGTAACATCTATAGCACTATCACAGAGGTCTAAAAAAACCCCTTTTCCCTAGAAACATCTCGGCAGTAAAAATGTCAAGAGGAATCAGTAAAAAAAACCTTCTGTTAAAACTCCTGTCAGCCTGAGATGATCATAAAGGAGAAAATTCACGACTGAGTGCAAGAAGGTACCTACAAGGATGGAAGCTATTTCAGGGTGACTCTGTAGAGAGCACAGTATGTGCTTCACTCCCACTGCCACTGTCTGACAGATGTCTCATGCACATCTCAGGCAGAATGCAGTATGAAGATACAGTACGGAATGACGAAGATATACGGAAAGAACCCCAGAGGAGCCGAGATCTTCAACCTGTAGCAGTCACCATTGTTCAATTTGTAGTAATCAGACAACACTAGCTGAAAACAGCACAGTTCTTAGCTTTAATAGGAAAGTGCTCTTCCAGATCACTACAGTTTTCCTACTGAAAGCAGCAGAAAAGAGCTTTCTTTCATCACCAGACAGCTGATATGTGGGACTGAATATAAGACTGATCATTTGTGATTTATGCCACCTTCTTTTGCATAAAAAAGAGAGCAAAAAAGGAAAAAGTATTATTAAATGGTGTCTGGTTTTTCATGCTAATTACACCTTGTATTTCTCTATCCAAATTCAGACCAACAGGTGCTTTGGAACAATTGCTTTGCTTGATACTTTTCTCACTGTCATTTAACCAACCAGGAGTAAACCCACTGCAGTCCACTAACTTACACCAAGGCTTTGACACGTTACTAGTCTACTCCACAACATCATCTGAAACATTTCCAACTGTAAAAAATATTACTTGTTCCGCACACCATTCTATTTCCATTCATTTAAAAATAAAATTATGTGCATGTATTAGGAGAGCATTACTTTAGATACCACAATAGGCGGTTATACAATAAACTCTAACAAAAAAAACCCCACTGGGTTTTATTGGTCTTCATCCTAGAGTTTTGTCCACATAAACCCTCTTAAAGATGGAAATAGATTTTTTTCTGAGAAGGAAAACCTTGTGCCTGCTGTTCCCAATTTTCTTAAGTTTTTTTTCCCCAAGTTAATGCTCTTAAAATATGCAACAAACCCCACTTATTTATACCTACAATTTTAATTTCATATTGAGGAAACAGATTGTGAGAGTGTGTGCTGTAAATGAATAGAAATCTATCTCCACATTAACAAAGTCAGATTCCTACAACTTCAAGTAAATTTATTATTGATTTAATGTAATTTAAAATATTCAGGATACATTATTAAGTAGGCCATGTATGCATATACATTATGTATGATTTTATACATTATGTATGATTACACATAATCTTCCAAGGAATCCAGACAAAAAGATTAGCTTATTCAGCTTTACCTAGTTTCAGAGTTTTGCTGCCACTGAAGGCACTGGTTTCTCTTCTACCCCTGATTAGGGACAGCACTGTAATTTAGAAACCGGTTGGGAAACATGAAATGAAGCTTCCTGTAGAAAGATCACCCCAAATGATAGCACGCTTCCCTCTATCCTAGTGACAAGTTGTCTTTGTCAGAATGACACATTGTCACCTCTGATCTTTCATCTCCAACTTCTCTTATACATTCCAAAGGATCAACAGACTTAGGGAACTAGTTTCTTTTCATAAGGATTTAATTGCTGGAGTTATCTTCCAGTGAGCAACGTCAAGGTCCAGAGGTTAACTGAAAATCTTGAGCATACTTGGATTGAAAGGCTGTGTTTTGACGGCAGAGTTGTATTTAATTAAGCACAAGTGGATTTATTAAACTGTTCTTGTCCATATTATATTAGGATATAAATAGAAAGAAAAGTTTAATTAGTTAAGGAAGAAATTTGAGCTAGGTCGCAAATCAAACATTTGATCCATGAAACAGTAACCTAAGTAGTGGTTATTGTCACCTTTTGAATCCTTTATAAGCCAGAGTGGCAAGCCAGAGGCAACATTACTATTTTGCCTGGTATCTCCTCAGCTATTTTTCCTTTACCTAGCTGAGAAAACTATAAAGGTGAGCAGCTGACTTGAGATTAATTTAATGAAATTACTGTGCAGAGCTGCACCAATAGTAAGTACAATAACCATTGTTCTAAGATTTTAATTGCTGGAATTACATCTGGATGGACCTTATTTGGATAAGTACCGGTTTTCTTTTTATTCTCCAGAGCTGTTGGGGGAGGAAACAGACTCAGACCTTCCTGCCTTTCATTTTTCCACTGCATGTACTGTTAGTTGTATTGCCAGATGCCATGCATGCCTGTAAGACTAATTATTAGATTAACAGTTACATAGAGTTTAAAAATGTGCTGTACTTAAATAGGACACAGGTAAATGATGAAAAACTGATCATCAACTCACAACATCATTTATGTAATCCATCTCATGAAAAAGGATTATTTCAGCACTGCTGTTTTTAAGGAAGTAATGTACTAAATCCTCTAATTTATTTAGGAATAGCTGCGATGTCGGTTTGATCAATTATATTAATCTCCCCTTAGAAGTCTTGTTAGTCATAAAGTGTTCTTCGAAACACAGGAAAACCCATTTGTTGTATGATGCATGTGCATTTCACAAATCCCTTTGCACCGTACTATTTTGCACAGGTTTAAAATGAGCCTTACAGACATGCTAAGCCCTTCCGATATTGCTGCTGCTCTGCGGGACTGCCAAGGTGAGAAAACAAAACTCTCAAAATCTACTATTTTGTGTACCACAGGGCAAGTTCAGCTCAGTCCCCAAGCAATGCTGAACCAGCGCGTACTGTAAAAAGATTCCTGTAATCTCTTCACTTCGCTGCCACAGTGTATTTGTTCACGACTGGTTTACAGTGTCAGTTTGTAACTTACGTGGGGCTTGTTGATCTTTAGGAGGGTGTGGTGCAGCATGGCAAAAGCCATTCTTTGACAGGCTTTATCCATCATTCATGTTTAGGCCAATGAAAATGTAAGAAAGCAGCACCCTCAGACCGTTTAGGAACAGTGAACGCAGTGGTCTGGGGTTAATTAATTTATTAATTTATTTTCAGCTCCAGATTCCTTTAGTCCCAAAAAATTCTTTCAGATCAGTGGGATGTCTAAAAAGAGTAGCAGCCAGCTCAAGGAGATCTTCCGGATTCTCGACAACGATCAAAGTGGCTTTATTGAGGAAGATGAGCTCAAGTAAGGATTTTCTGTGTCAACTCTTTAGAGGCTATCCAAAGTTCAGCACTTTTTTCTTTCCAGAACTGCTCTGTAAATGTGAGCAGAAGTTATGCTAAATGTTGATAAAACCTTCAGCAGATTGTGAAAGGTGTATTTGAGTAGATAATCCCTACAGAGAAAACCAAATTAGTAAATACCTGCCTTTAATGCTCAGTATAGAAAAAAGTTACTCCCTGGGGCTGGATTTTGGTAGTGGGCAGAATCAACTGTATCAGGGCTGGACTCAGAAAGCAGAAATAAATGTATGTGACTAAGATTTAGCTTGTCCAACAAAGCAGTGTTTGAAGGACCTGGCTATTGTGGCAAATAATTTATTTATAAATAGCTATCGGTTTGATTATACAGGCAGGATAAAAGATTAATATTCTGTGAAAATCCTAATCAAAGTTGTTTTCTTCCTAGGTATTTCCTTCAGAGGTTTGAGTGTGGAGCCAGAGTGTTAACCACCTCAGAAACCAAGACCTTCTTGGCAGCTGCAGATCATGATGGGGACGGTAAAATTGGGGCTGAAGGTATTAACTTATTTATGTATAGAGTAAGGTTCCTCAGGATGTGTAAATGATGTGCGATTCTCTTACGTTGATGGCACAGTAATGTACCCCCAGTGAGTGTACTGAAACCCTTACAGTAGCGATGGCCCCTGATCGCACAGGTTCATCTCTGCAACTCCTTTTGCACAAGCAAGTAAAAAAACCCCACCTAGGCTGCCCTAAGGAACTTGCGCATTGCCGCTCACTCACAAATTTCCAGTTGTTTTGAAAGGAACCGCCCCCTATTCCTCCCCCCACCTACTCTGATGTAAAGCTGCACTAGCATCACTCGTAACACACAAATGTAAAATCACGGACAAAAGATCCCGCTCTGTGCAGAACGTAGATGACTCATTTACAGCAGTCGTCTCCCAGCAGAAATTCCACTAGTCAGTGAAAGCATTCCCGATGTGCAAGAGCTAGCAGCCGCAGTTCAGTACTGGTTTTGCATCGTAAGGAGAACAGAATGATGGAGTGCCACTGCCGCGACATGAGATCCCACCACAGGCTCTGTGCGTGGGGACGGATGCCATTTACCGTCCTGGCAGGTTAAGGACCAGTCAGGAAGGAGCAGCTGTTTTAGGAAGCAGCATATGGCACTCACCCCATGGAAATGCCAGTGTGATGTCATGGCTGCTCCGTGCAGAAAGCTCCTGATCCCGTAATTCCGTATTTCTGTGTCCCACTTTGAAGAGGAAGCACACCCTCACACAAAAGGCTCATGGCCGATGGCAACTTGCCCCACGGGAGAAGCTGCCTAGATGAGCATGAAAAGGGCTTAGGGAACAGCACGCAGGGAATGTGCGGGTGGGCAGATTCCCTAGCTCGCTGCCCTAGGAGCACAGAACTCTTCTGTTTCTTTCTTTGGAAGGAATTAAATCCAGTTCCTTAGGAAATGTGCCAGAATAAACACACATGATTTATGAAGCGATCTGTATGCTAACAGAGTCATTCCGGGACAGGATGGATCAGATGCTCTAACTCACAGAAGCCAAACATTTCAAAGATATTCCCAATCACAACAGCTGTACACCACAGTACTTCAGCATCATAACACACGGACCTGCACAGCGCTTCTGGCTTCAGACTGTGTGCAGTCAACTGCATTACAAACAGCCCATAAGACACATGAACTCACTGCTTGTTCTTTCGCTTCAGGTCTTGACTTCTTCTTACTCAAACTATTAGCCCTGCCATTATTTTTGCCTGAGATCAGTAATATGCAGAGAGAAGGCTAAAACTACCTTGAACATTTCGTTATTCCTTATAAATGTCAGCAAAACACTGCTTTTCCTTCTCTTGTTTAAAAGAGGAGATTTAGACAATGTCTCTCTCCCATACACGGTGCCTCTCCCCTGGTCATCTATCAGGTAATTCTTTCCTGTTCATTCCTATCCCAAATCTCTTGATAACCCACTAGTCTTTTACTCCTAATCCTTTCATTTTAACATCTATACTGTAAATATTCTCTTATCTTTAACAGAATTCCAGGAAATGGTGCAGTCTTAGAGGATCAAAAGGACCAACCTAGACAGAATCTGCACGAGACATTCCAAAACCTTGAAAATCAGAAAACCCTCATTTACCTTGACAGTGTCTGTTATTTGTTCACTGCCTTAGCAACATAACGAAACACTGATTTATTAATTTTTTTCATTGTGTGGACCATTTGCCATGTTCTAAATTCTACTTTAGCAGACATTCCCCTTTAAAATATCCAATAAAACTTAATCATATACAGTATTTTGTGTCTGGTTTCCTGAGCCCTAAACTGCAATGTGTGAATTCTTAGACTAAAAGTGTTAATCCCTCCAAGATCTTGTTCTTATCAGACTTCATATATGGAACATCTTTTGAAATCTCGGGGAGTTCTGTTTACAATAGGCCTTCTGGATTAAGCTTGAAGTTCTCAAAGGCTCAGATCTTCGTCGAAGACTGGGAGCTCAGATGTAGTTGTGAGGTGGGTGAGGATACAGTCTCTCACTGACTTCCATGTGAAAAGCAGTCATACATTTTGCTAAAGTAGTGGCTTCTGCATGAGAATGTTGCTGTTTCAAACCACCCTTCACATTAGCCAACTAAGAGAACAAGAAAGTCAAAATCACATGTTTTCCTGCAGAAAGAATTAAAAGGAAAGCCTGTGTGGACTTGAGGTTTCAGATAACTGTGAGGCTTTAAAAAGCAGAGGGGAAGCAAATGTTATCTTCTTGGTGGTATTTTCTAGCTTTCTCAATAGGGAGGACTAGAAGTGTGGAGGAATAATTTGTAGAAATGCTTGTCGAGACTCTTCAACGCGCTCTACCTGGTATTTCTGGGCTACGGCTGCGGTATTACAAATGTCCTTCCGCAAAGCATCCACCTCTGGGGATGCTGAAGAATGCCTTTTTATGAACAAACAAGTCAGTCAGCAGAAAAGAGAGATGTTCCAGTGCTCTGATGGAATATTTATACACCCACTTGTTTCCACAGCATTAACAAGTGCTGTGTACTGCAGCTCACACGCAGGCAGCTTGCAGGAGCCACCAGAACACAACGGAAGCCTTTTCACCAAAGTGAAGGGTTTAGAGTCACTGCAACTTCAATGCATTTCTTCCTTTGCTGCAAATGACATTTAAAATTAACAGCATTTTTTTTCTTTTCAAAAGACACTATAAATACTGGTAATTGTGCAGAAAAACACCAAAACGAGAGCTGAATTGTTTATGGGATAACCAGCTATTGCTGGGGAGGAAACGAAGGAATCCGAATGTGCTCGCGAGAAGGGCTGTACATCCCTCCCAGCATCCGGCAGAGCCCATACGCTGACGCTTTGACACGCTAGACCCTTTTCTCTCTCCCACCCTGCATTTCCCAAACCTAACAAAACAGCGACTGAAAACTTCCTGTTGGCCTCGAACATGTCCATCGTCAAAGCAAAAGCAGTTCAGTAAATTACACTTCCCCTTTACCCAGTGTGAAAAGAAGTTCATGCACTGCCACCCTCCAAGACACCTGAGACAGCTGCACCAATACAAATTCTATAATGGTTCATCCCTGAGCACATCCCTGCGTCTTTTCTGCAGGCCCCTGCTCCTCTGAGAGCCAAGCACTGCAGAACCAGCCAAGAAACATCTACTGCCTTTTAAAAACACATGTATATATTATTCTACAATTATTATATTATTATTACTATATTATTATTCTACAATTCTTAACAGTTGACAACTCAAACCAGAATTTTTATCCCGTTTCAAAATGTTTTCAAGTAGCTTAATTTGACGTCCAAGTGGTTTGTAAGCTGGTAAACTCAGTAAACGTGAGAATTCAATACGGTCATCACATTTTTCCTTTTCCTTTTCTTGTGCAAAAATAATACAAAATGAGAAAATATTAACATTAAATTTTAATAATATTTCTTACCATTATGAAATATGCTCACTTGGCATAAATCACTAGAAAATCAATGACTGAACCAGATCTCCTCAGGTTTACACAAGCTGAGGAGCTGACCCGTCAGGATCTGACCCACGGAGATTCTCATAGCACAAGCAAGATGTCACAGGACATTCACAAGAAATAAAGTGTGCTCTTGGCCATGTGTGCTGGCTTTGGCTGGGATAGAGTTCATCTTCTTCACAGTAGCTGGTAAGGGGCTGTGGTGTTGA